GTGGGGGGGTGTACTTTAACACAGAGGGACACTGAATCAGAGAGGCCCATTTTAGGGCCAGATAAAGGGGGGGGGCGCGGGGGAAATCCTTTTCCTTTCCTTACTGAGACTGTTCCTCGGGAACATAGTCTTTGATCATCCAAAAAGGTGAAAGAAGCATCCTTTCCCAAAACTGGTTAACTGTACTTAATTATTCATTAACCATATACCAAATTTTCATCAACCATAAATAAACACATATTTTGAGATACTGTGAGGATTCCCCAAGACTGCATAAATGCTGATTGATATACACTTTCCCATAGTTAATATGCCTTAAGACTCTACCTTTATTGTCTTCACTAGACCTTCAGATACAAGCATAAAATATATCTTTTTATTAGTAGACACAAGAGCCAACTCATACTTGTCCTTTTACCCTCATAGTTTTCCTTCCCTTAAAACCCATTTGCCAGCAATCAAAGCACTGTTAGGGGCTTTACCATGTCCAACTTGATAGGTCTTTGATTCACAGTGTACACCTTTTCTTGTAAATGCCTGCTTGTCTATAGCAGGGCATAAGCTCTTCAGATCCAATACCCAATTCATTTTGCCATGTGCCAGGTGCATTTTCCAATATTATGTCAAGAACTGGGGATGCTGTCATGACAAGCTAGGCAGTCCTTGCTTATAGTACAAGGTATTAGTTTCTTGGTAGCTGGCTTTGAGAAGGTTATAGCTGCTTGCTGAGCTTCATCACTCAAGTGTCTGTTATTAATGGTCATCCAGAGCTGAGTTACAGACATTTCTGTTCTTCCTTCTTCCACACTGTATGTTACAGTGGACCGGTTCACGTTATGGTGTCTGTACCAGGCCATTGTGAATGGTGTACTGATATTAAGAATGGCAGGTTCTGCACCACTCAGCACTGGTTTACTCCTCATCTTGCATGTCTTTAGGTCATACATTCTCCTTTAGACTCTGACCTTAAGTTCATAGAGCTATTTGGCTGACTTGAGTGGGCTTTATTAATACAGAAGACAGCCATTACTTTAGGTAGAAAAGTGAAAAAAAAGAAAAAAAAAAAAAAAAGAATATGTGTACCTAGCTAAGCCAGAGCTGAACTGCAGTGGCATAAAATCAATATGGATAATGACTGACCAACAAGTACATAGCGGTCTGTTTTCCAGTCAATAAAATATTGATCTTTTGCTCTACGTGGTGTTCATTTCTGGTTTTCAGTTTCTTCTTTCATGGCAGCTTTCACTGCAGTCTAGAATTTGATTAGTTTTTACCTTTTCATTTTATCTAGCTGCTTCCTTTTCTATTTTCACATTTCACATGGCTAAATACAGGTTCTTTGTAAGATTGGGATTCCCATAAATAGCAATATTTTTCATTACCTTAAAAATATATATATACATACTGACATATAGTGGTTCACAGTTATGTGTGATGTTCTAAAAATGTGCACTAAATTATAAGAAATTAGCCCATTAGTAAATGTTAGTTGTGTTAAAATTTTAATTGAAAATGATGAATCACCAGATCCAGGCTTGTCTGTGGGGTGTATCTTTTGTTTGTATGGTGTGAAATAACATTCAGCAAATTGCAAGGATGT